TCTGATACTATAAACACTATTTCAGAGGATTCTTCCTGCTGTGCAGCTGTTAGAAATTCTTTTGAGGCTTGCAGGTAATACATAAATACTTGTATCATTTAAGTATTTCAGAAGCCACTTTCCCCCATTTATTAGCAAAAGGGGGAAAAAAGGCCTCAACAAACAAACAAACAAAAATAGAAATGTAAATAAAGGGACTGTTTTCCAGAAATTTTCCATTTCTTTCCACATTTACCCTGGAGAAAGTCATTTTTCACTTAGTTTTATAAAGCACCCGTCTTAGTTCCAGTTAGTTGCCTGATCATCAAACTCATTTTTTAATCTTTATCCCTTTCTTTATTCTAGCTCTGTTAACCACCAAAGACAGAAAGACAGAGAGAGAGAAAGACAGAGAGAGAGAGAGAAAGAGAGAGACTTTTCACATAGAAGGGGATACAATTGCTTTAAACTTTATTTATTTTTTCCTGATGGCCAGAAATTTCTGGACTAAAAAAAAAAGAGGTGTGTGGGTGGGGGAAGAAAAACCACACATGCTCAGACTTTCAAATTATGCCAAGATAAATATTTATTTAAACACAGCAGGACTTACAGATCACAAAAAGAGAATGCTATTACAGGAGCTCAAAGGAAATCATCGGAGTCAAAGAAAGCATGCAGGCCAGTCTTTTGCAGGAGAGAGAGAAATATCAAAGCCGTTTTTCCAAAAGGCACATTCACATAGGAAAATGTCAAGTTGAAAATAGAAAGGCATCAGAGTGGAGGGAAAAGAGACAGCCGGCAAGGAAGATCTCTACCCCGGTTCTGATTCGCAAAAAGTTTGGTTTTTGTTTTTCCTGATGCAAAGGTTCTGCCAGTTTTGCAAACTCAGCACGTTGGCCAGTCTTCCGGCCGTTTTAATCGCACTGCAAACCGTTTCCGAAAGGGTCAATGGAGGCAAATCAGGGGAAGGCGGGGAGAGAGACCCTACCCCACCTACAAGGCCAAGACAATTCAATCCAATCAGACAGAACCGAGAAAAGGGCTGAAATTGGGCAGAAAAGTCACAGCAGGTTGAAATTAACAAGCAGAGATGGGTAGAAAGTTATAAACATTGGTCGGATTGTTAATTCCACAATCAAGCCAGGGCATTTGGTTACCTTCCATTCACAGAATTAAAGAACAAAGTTTAAAGAGACAGTATCCCCTTTGAAAGAGCTAGGAAAAGTCTCTCCTTTCATTCCTGCGGTGTTAAAAGAGCCTTTAAAACTGAAGAGTAATTGATTTAAATATCCTTTCCCCCCCCCCCGCCCCACTCGCCATCAAAGACATTAATTCCTTCCAGTAAAGCTCTCAAGTGTGGAAAGATTAAAAACGCTAGCTTTGTTTGCAATGCTAATCCTGGAATAACCAGAATGATAAGAAGTCCTATGTAATTTAGGAACTCCTCTCTGAAACCAACAGAAAAGTGGCACCCTTGAGGAATGGAAAAAGGGAATACTGTCCCTTTCTGACAATTCAGTGTACAGACCAAATAGAAACGAGCAAAGAAAAAAAAAAAGATATTCCTGCTTTCAAATTAAAGTGGGTAGAGATATATGGAACATTACCAATCAGAACTTGAAAATACCTCCCTCCCTCTCTCTGTATATATATACAGTACCGTACATTACAGCTTAGGCCTGCAAACATATTTCAGAAAAAGTGCTTTGGAGTACCTGTCTCTTGAAAGCAGCCGTAAGAATCTGGGGAAAGATGTAGCTGCTTTAAAGGGTGGAGATAGGTGCTACATACACGGATCCTGTATGATTGCTATTTGGAATCAAACCTGAACCACTTCACAGCTCTAATATATACACAGAGTAGAAAAGAGAAGCAACAGAACAGAAAAATAGTTGATTTATTACATAACGGTAGACAGAAAGGCCCCAAGAAAATTTAGACAAGAAAGAATTTTGGAATCAGAGCAGATGAAGTACTACTTTGTCATTTAGCTGTCAGCCTCTTAAGGCAGCGTTTCTCACCCTTGGAAATTCTAAGCTGTGTGGAATTCAAATCCCAGACTTCCTCAGCCATTCACCCATGCTGGCTGGGGAATTCTGGGAACTGAAGTCCACACCACTTAGAAGTTGCCAAGGGTGAGAAACCCTGATTTAAGGGTTCAAAAAATGGCTGAAGATTCGCCATTCCCTTTTCCTCTTGAAGTACGTTTTTCTTACACCTTAATTATGTTTTATCATTAAGTCTGCATCAAAAGGAATGGTGGATAATGCTACCAATAGTTAAAATACTTAGCAGTTGATCTTGGTTGGCATTAACCATTTCTTTGGTACAGCTGGATTGGCAAGCTGTGGGATATGGGTTCTGGGATTCTGATTGAGAGAACAGAGAAGTCCACTTTTGATCCCTTAATCATGATTGGGAAATGGAAATACAGTATTAACCCTGAACAGGCCCTTGGCACCAGAAAGTAGATAAATGCTTGATTTTGTAAAATAAGGAATGGGGAAATCATTCTTTATAAAGTTTAGCATCCAAACATAATACTGACTTAATCAATCTCAGGATCCAGAAGGCATCTCTTGATGCAAACTGAATGGCAGCCATCAATCCTTGAACTGCTACGGACAATTAATTCATCAGACTATCACTAAGACAGATTAGAAAAATAGTAGGAAAAAAAGTGCTTTTGAAAAACTCAAAATTTTTAAAAAAAAATCAAGCACAAGCCTGGTAGGTCCCAAACTACTGGATAACCAACCAGACCAGATCAAACATTTTAACATCCCCCCACCCCAAAAAAGGTTTAATTTTTCACGAAGCAAATTTACTCCTGATATTTCAAACACCCTGTTAGAGAAATCCCCTTCTTCTAAAGCCACCAAAGGGTTTGTTTCTATGTTCCCTATCTAAAAATAAGACTATAAGAATACAGTGCAGGTTTTTTTCCTCCTCTTTCACTTACGATCTGGGGTAGAGAAAAGTGAAAAAGAAACAGCAATTGATATAGAAGTAAATGGTTTCTGGGGCAACTATTTCCTTGCCACCTATACTAATACTGATTAACCCTTGATTGTGATGGAATATTGTGATTTTTCCCTGTTTTTTTAAAAGGCCACAACATTCAGGGATCCACCCACTCTAGAGAAATTGTTATGCTGCCCCCCAAATCACCAACCCATGAGGTGTTTAGTTTAATGATCTACAACTACATTGGAGATAACCGATTCATTCTCTGTACGGTATCATTCATTTCCCGAAGAAACTAAAAGGAGGAATATTCAATACAACAGCGTTTCTCAACCTCAGCAACTTTTAAAGATGCATGGATTTCAACTCCCGAATTCCTCAACTAGAATAGCTGGCTGGGATATTCTGGGAGTTGTAGTCCACGCACCTGAACTTTCCCACTATTGAGAAACACTGCAATACAATATTTCCTTGGTTTTTTTCTTTTAAATTTCATTCTGGACAATTAGAGGGGCATTAGTGTTGTTTGCCTTTCAACGGATGCAAATGGGAGAGACCAATCCGGCGATGTCCTTCTCACCTGTCGTAATTTAGTACAGGTGAGAAAACCCAAGGAATTGGCCACACCCTCCTATTCCAGGTGCTCAAGAGGGCACTGATATTCTGTGGGACCTTTCTATGGAAGGATGGCTTCCAACCTACTAGCAGCGGATGCAAAAGGATCAGTATCCAGGGACCTCAGTGCTATGTTTTCCTAGACTGAAATCTATTATTTGCACCCTGAGACAGATGGGCCATTAATGACTATTTCAATGCCAGTATTGGGAATCTATTTTGCAGACTGCATACCCAGGGTGAAAAAAAGAAATGCATTAATAGCACCATTCTGGGTTGACAACGCAGTTATGGTTGTCTCTACGTGAATCTGGAGTGTTAAGAAAGTCATCGATCCACAGTTGGGGGAAAATATAACAATTTCTAGCATTAACACACAGCTAGGGCCTGAACTTCTGTTATTATTGCTAATTTCTTCCAGAATACACAGGGATGACAATCTAATGATCTGTGCAAATGTGATATAGCAGCTATATTATTTCAAAGGATATTCTGGTGCAGAAATTGCATGAGGCAGAATTTCAAGTGAATACTGCATGTATCTTCAACTGGGGCCAAATTAGGGACTGCCCCCACCCACCCACCCACCCCCAACTATGCATTGCCTTAATCTGGCCAGACAGTACTTTAATACCTATGGCTAGATTTAATACTGATTCAAAACCGTAACTTAAATTGACCTGTAAAATCCCAGTTACACTGACATTCTGATTGATTTAACAACTGGGATCAAGGTATCCCTTCATTGAGATTAAGGAAAAAAGAAACTGGAGGCTGTTTCCATAATTTAGAGCAGGGGTCTCCAACCTTAGCAACTTTAAGACTTGTGGACTTCAACTCCCAGAATTCCTCAGCCAGCTTTGCAGTTGAAGTCCACAAGTCTTAAAGTTGCTAAGGTTGGAGACCCCTGG